GAGTATGCCATTGATATGACATATTGTGAGCCATGTATGAATTGATTGATGTGCTTTGACATTGACACATTTGACGTGTATGGATCCTGTGAGGGTCATATGATGAGAAGTCTAAGCAAGGCTTAGCCATGGTATAATATGATGAAATGTGTGATGTGTTGTGGTATAAGACCATGTGAATGTATGGCATAGAGTTTGTTTGACATGCATCATGTGCATAAAATATTTTTAAAAGGTATCATATGGAATACACCGCTAGGGAATGTTCCTTGTGTAAAAGCTTGGTAAACAACCTTGAGGATGACTCAGTTTGGAAATCCCAATCTTGCCCTTGTGAGCATGGGATCTATCTTGCATGGCTTAGCTATCACGACCATACCTTGGTAGTATGTCCTTTTAATGAGAGTGCATAGTGGGTGTAGCCCGACATGTACTTCTAAACTACTTTACGTGTGTTGTTAGTGACAATGCACAAGTGTGATATGCGATATTTTTACTAGCATCATATGTATGATAACATGTAGTTCGTGTTTATTGCATAATGCATCTTATTGTTATGTGGTATTTAGTTGTTATATTGTGAATGAATGGAATATGTTATATGATTGATATATTTATGTTATGTTGATATATCTCTTGTCTGTGTTTGGTTTTCCGGCTACATTTTACATCGTGAGTTAGAGTGAGATGTTTCTCACTCTTTTTGTTTTATGTTGCTCTTCGTGTATGCTGTTACAGGTGATCTTCAACATGATGTTAAGGATGTTGGTGATGAAACTTAGTCCTCATAGAAGGGTTATGCTCTGATAGGACACGTGACACCAGAGAATTAGTTAGGACTAATTAGAATTTGATTTGTTATTTAATTGGAGTAGTTTAATTTTAATTCTTTTGTAATTTAATATTTGAGGTTATTCAGTTATTCAATATATTATGTGTTATAGCATGCAAGGTAGAAGGTGTCACCTAGAGAGATTGTTGTTAAAAGAATACTTGGATAATTATTTGAAGAGGCAAGTAAAAGAATACTTAGGGTTGAAGCTAGAAGTGGCTTCTTAAAAGAATATTTGTATCTTTGTTTAAAGATATTGAAAATCAATCTGGTTGTATTGAGAATTAGGCGTAGTCTCAATGGTTGAAGTGAACCAATATAAAAATATTCAATGTTTCATCTAATTACTCTTCTTGCTTCACCTGACTAGTGTTACTACGTCACTGCAGAAAATATGCAAAAAAAATTTATACACTATTCAATCCCCCTTTTTAGTGCTTATCTTTTCTCCACATAACTAACTCAAACAACATGAAAATGACATAAAAAAATAACATGCAACTACTAATCATCATGAAATTTGGCAACTTTGGTGTCTTGGTGCTTCAAAAACCCTAAACCCCCAAAACTCCAACTCCAACTTAACTCAACATCAAAATTCAATTCATAATGCTAATGAGAAAATTCAATAGTAATTCAACACAGAAGAACTTCAAAGAATTAAAAAGAAACTTCTTTTACCTCTATTTTCTTCTTGGAAGTGAGAAATCAAAGAAAATGAGATGAATGATGAAACTCCCTAGGGTCAACTTCTCATTAACAATTCAAGCTCCTCAAGGCATGAATTCACTTCCACAACCTAAACTTGACTTCAAAGGAGGATCTAGAAGCTCTTGGTGGAATCAGAGGAAGAAAAGGTCTACATTGGCTTCAAAAATTATGTCTCTAACTTATCTCTAAAACCTTTAAGAAATGAACTTATGGAGTTCTTTTTTTATGAAAATCTTATATATCTTCCCCTAATGATATTCATTGGATCGAATCAATCTGACAAACCTAACAATCTGAACCAAATCAATTTAATTGATTCAGTTTTTTTTTTTTTAATTTAGGTCCAACTTGAACCAAACCATTAAACTCGATGTTGATTGGTTTGTATATTGGATTTACAATTTAAAATCTGAACAAACCTAAACCAAATCAATTTAATTGATTCAGTTTTTTTTTATTTGGGTCCAACTTGAACCAAACCATTAAACTCGATGTTTGATTGGTTTGGATATTTGATTATTTTGAAGCCATTTTTGTGTTACAATATGTAGTTTTTTTTAATTCCTTTTCTCAAATACTTCAAGAAATCAACATGAATTATATTACAATATATTAAGTGTCATCTTCACATACTATATTGCATTTAAAATCCTTAAATTGATTAAGAAAAGAAAAAAAGATGAATTATATTACAAACCTATCACTTTAGTTAATTTTTAATAATATATCAATTTAGTTAATGTTGGAAAAATCTATTTAGTTAAAGAAAAAAATTGAATTTTAAAAAAAATTCATCAAGTTTTTGATGATCCAAGCTGATTCAATTATTAAATTACATCAATCTAAGATAATTAAATTTAATTGGTTTGGATTGAATTTTTACCCAACGTCAAACTAACTTGACCTATGAACATCCATATCTTCTCCCTTTCTTGGTCCAACTTGATCTCAACTCAAATAAGTATAAACAATTTAACTTTTAATGATTCTTTAACCCTTAGTGGGTGTTTGGTAGGGGAGAAGTTTTTTCATAATCAAGAATCATGATTCCTGAGAATTACAAATTCTAAGAATCATGATTCCTAAGAATAGTTAAAATATGTTCAATTACTCATAAAGGTTTCTGGGATTATTCATAAGTAGTGTATTCTTGACTATATAATATTGTTTACAAAAATATCATTTATTAAAATAATATCATTAGATATATTTATTTACTCAAATCTTATTACGAATATGACACTAAACTATTTTTAAAAGTTGAGAACTTATAGTTATATTTGAATAAAAAATTCAACAAAAGAAATAAACAAAGAAAAATATTACATAATAAATAAGAAGGATAAAAATATATTATTTTATTTCATTAAAAAAAATAAAGTGTTCACAAATACCATTAAACTTTAGAAACAAAACATACTTTAATATTATTATTAAATTGACAATGTTAAGAAATAATGATATATGAGAGAGAGAGAGGGGGGGAGAGAGAGGAGAGAGAGAGAGAGAGAGAGAGAGAGAGAGAGAGGGACGAAGAGGGGTGAGTAGGAGTGAGAGAGACAAAGAGAAATTGGAGATAGAGAGAGAAAAAAAAAAGGGATATTGTGATCTTTTTTATATATAAATTTTTTTCTTTAATTCTGAATAGTTGGATTTTCACTCCTTCATGAGAATGTTTATGTTAGAAAGTGGGATAAAAACGGTTCCTAAGAAACTATATTTCTAAGAATTTTTTAAAATAGCTACCAAATATGGAAAATCAAGATTCCCAAAAAAATAAAACATTCCATATATCAAACACCTCCTTAAAATTTTATAAAACAACTAAAAGCATAACACAAAAACTTAAAATATAACGTATAAACAGGCGTAAAAGTCAAAAGATAACATTACAATATTTATTTTTGGAAGTTATATAAACTAAAAAAATAATTTTTAAATTTAAGGGGTTAAAATGATAATGTATGTGATATTTTGAGGATCAAAACCACAAATTTTAAATTTGAAGCACAAAAAAATACATACCCAAAATTTGAAGAACTAAAAAACTTTTTTTTATTTTTTATTTCTTTGGAATGTAAGACTAGAGTAAACTAAACAATATATTATACATGTAATTAATTTTAAGAGAGTGCATGAAATAAGATAACTGTTAACAACAAAACTATTCTTGCTTATTTAGACTCAAAACTCTAAATTAAATTAGAATTACCCCTAATACATAGATAATTTTCTCAATTCAATAATTTTTATATGTCAAACTTCAATTTTAGTTATTTATTACCAAAATTAGGCCATTTATTTTTTCTTTCTTTTCCCCTAAACTTTTACAAACATACCAGTTGCGATTTTAATAAAAAAAAAATTGTTCTAATCACCACATCTTCCACAATGTCTAAAAACTTTCTTTTTCTAAAAAAATATTAATACATAAAAGAAGGTTAAAATATTAGCAAAAGAAAAATAAGTTGTAAGCATCCTAAATCTATGTGACACCTAGTAAGAGAAATAATTAAAATAATGTTATTACAAAAGATGTTACATGTAATGATATACAAAAAATGTTATTGTAGATATAATATATATATATATATATATATATATAGGTATAAATGTATTTGACTTATATCCATACACAATTTTAGTATTGATTTTAAATGAGATTTAACAACATGTATTGTGTCACTATAACATATACTTACACTTTTAATAATATATCAACAAATATTGTATCTATAGTGTTGATAAACGTAATTTTTAGTGATAAGTTTTGTGTCACTATAGATTGTGTATTACATAATACTTTTTTTTTATTTACAAAGCAAAAGTATAATAGATGATATGATAAGAGAGAGAGAAAGAGAGAGAGATAGAAGAAAAAAATAATAAATTTTTATTAACCGTAATTATTGCATAGCGTTAATGAGGAGTAACTATTACAACGCTCTTTAACCATCATATAATGTTGATAGTTCCGATCGTTTTCTGGTATACAATTATTACAACAAAGATTGAACTTAAGTTTGTATATATCTACACTTCTTACCTACTACTAAAATAACCTAGTATAATTGAAAATTTTAAGTCTTAGAAAAAATTAATAACAATTTGTTACATGTCGTGTAGAAATTGATTGAGACTTAAGGTGGACCTAGATTATATAATATTGTATTTAATAATATATTTAGATTAAATGAGTGTTTATGAATGTATAAAAATACAAAAAGACTATAAAAAATAAAAATAAAAAATAAAAAAAAGCAAAACCTTGTTTTCTTGCTTTAGAGTAGAATCTCAATGGTCATACTAACTGTGAATCAGAGTCGTTGAATACACTTATACATCAAAGGCTATTAGTCACATTTTGCCTCACTCCATTTCTTCCCTTCCTAAGTCCCAAGTTATAAATATAAAAACCCCTATTCCTATCACATCACAAACAACAATTTCTCTTTTCTCCTTGACTTTCTAGAGACAACCTTTTTGTTTTACTAAATTCACTCTATTGTTGTCTGAATGGATCCAAGCTTTCAAAATCTCCCATACCTTTCAAGCCTTTTCCCCGAAAATCCCTACCTGAAGCCACTACAAAGTTCCATACTCATTCCACCATCACCACAACCCATCATGTTCCATCCAGGCAACAATTCAGAACATTTTCAAAACCAAATAATGAGTGTGGCCACCCAAAACCCTGCCTTTGTGATGGGGGGTCCTTCTTCCACCCCTTTGTATGGGATACCAACCCCATCTTTGGGTGATGGATCTTCTTCAGGAGGAGGTTTTGTTGACGATTACCATCATCATCCTATGATGTTAGAACAAAACAATAACAATAAAATGGATGTTTTGCCTGGACACCACCACAAAGGAAAAGACATAAGTGATTTTTCACAGAAAAGCATGATTCATCCCTTTCAAGCTTCTTCTTCCATGACACCATCACCTCTTTTTCTCTCTAATGAGAATGGGTTGCCAATGAGTGAATATCAATGGGACATTGATCAGAGGATGGACAAATTTCAAAATGATAATGCTAATGATAACATAATTAAAGGGCAGTGGACTGAAGAAGAGGATAGGTATATGTGTTATTATGTATTCTCTCTCAATCTTTTTATTTGTTTTCCCTTTTCTAAAAAAAAAAAAAACTAATTCTCATGTATCATTAAATTTTATTCTAAACAAAACATCGTGAATAATTAATTAATACTGGATTTTTACTCAGAAAATTTTATACAAAAAAAAAAACATCTATGTGATTTTCATAGATTTTACTAAGAAAAATTCCTTTTATTCGTTTCATTTCTGAATTTTTTGAATGTTCAAAAAATCGTGAAAAAATTAATTAATATTGGAGTTTATGATTCTTTATAGTGCTCTTGTGAAATTGGTTGAAAAGTTTGGACCGAAGAAATGGTCGGAAATTGCGAAGTTACTACAAGGCAGGATTGGAAAGCAGTGTCGAGAAAGATGGTTTAACCATCTCCAACCAAACATTAAGGTTCCTTTCCTTTCTATTCTCATTTCTGAAACATACATGCTCAATTTTCCTTAATAATTCATGGTATTACAGTTTTAACTTAATAATATATATATATATATATATATATATATATATATAACTATGGTATTATATTTATTCTTGAAGTAGTGAATGATTTTTGTTAAGATCATGAACACATAATGTGAATATTCTCTATTTTCAATATAGTTTATTTCATACTCAATACTAGAAATTTAGAATAAAAAATACACATAATAGTAATTGGCGTTAGATAGAAAATAATAAAAAATACACGGAATTAAATTTTCCTTTATAAAAATTTATGACTAAAATTATTTTTTAAGAAAATTTATACAATATTATTTCTTTATACATGTACTTACATATATTAATATTACTACAAGAAAATTGTTATATAGTAACACACATCCTATAGTAATACAATGCATGTCACTAAAAATTATTTTTACACATACAATAAATATAATATATGTTTGTATATTGTTAAAAGTGTGAGTATATGTTATAGTGACACATAAAATATGTTGTTAAATCTCATTCAAAATCAACACTAAAATTATATATAATTATATGTCAAATAATTGTATACTTACATATATTATACCTATAATGACATTTTTTGTATATCATTATATGTAATATTTCTTGTAGTTAGTTCTTGACGGTTTCTAAATAACTGACATCTTATTTTTTTTTATCATCATTAATTTAATATTTATATGTTACTATTTAAATATTACTAAATCAAAACTTTTATAATTCAAAATGTCATTATATGTAATATTTCTTGTAGTTAGTTCTTGACGGTTTCTAAATAACTGACATCTTATTTTTTTTATCATCATTAATTTAATATTTATATGTTACTATTTAAATATTACTAAATCAAAACTTTTATAATTCGCTCTAATATATGTGTATACACATCTATAATATTATTATCTTTTTCTGAGATTTTATTTTTATCAATAAATGTTAGTAATTAATAAATTATATTAGTTGAAGAGATTCAACCTCATTCTCTTATTATCACTCTAATCTTATATTTCTCACACCATTTGAACCGCCTTATAACTCTCTTCTGACATATTTTTTTGAAACTTATATTTATTTACAAGTTTAACCAATTGCTAGTCTTATATCAAATTTGGTGTTTGAATTTTATATTTTTTTGTGTTATATAGCTGGGCAAGATTCAATATTTGTCTTCTATGAAATTTCAAGGATATAATATATGTGACCTCACTTTTTTATTTTTGTATATCGATTCTATAGAAGGGTCCATGGACCCTAGAGGAAGACATAATTCTAATTGAAGCTCATCATGAAATTGGAAAGAAATGGTCAGAAATTGCAAAGAGATTGCCTGGAAGGCCTGAGAACTCCATCAAGAACCACTGGAACAGCACCATGCGACGCCAGAATTGCAAGAGGCAAAAGAATAACAATGACTCAAATTATGAAGGATCATTGCTCCATGCCTATGTCAAAAGGGTCACTTCTATTGAACAAGCTACCAAAGTGCTCGAGAACAATAATGAGGAGCATAACAAGTCACATGATGTCTTCAATGGAAGCACCAGCAACTATGTGTCCATGCAAGTCAACAATAATAATAATGTTGATGGTGGAAACATTAACTGTGCGCAATATTGGCACATGCTGCGATGATCAACATGGCAATGAATCTGAATGGTGCAGGATACTAATTAAGGTGGCATGCATGCATGCATGGTTGGTTTAAAATGCTTAAGGTTTAATTTGATTAGATGTAGTGCTTTGTTCCTTCTATTTTGTAGCAGTAGTTTTCTTTTGGTTGGATGTTATAGTTATTCCCTGATCCCATCTTTCTCTCTATGTTTTTGTTTTGTTATCAAATTTCAGAACTTCAATATTATCAGATTTTATTTTTAATGTTGCTATCTTTTGGCTCTTACAATAGCATATGTGATATAGATGAACGACTTGTGCATCCAACTGGAGGACATGATCTGAAAAACATTTCTAAATTTAATATATCAAAATTTATATACTCTATTCCATAAAATAAGTTATAACCGTCGATATATTTTTTTATATATATAATTAGGAATATCTCTCTATTAATTATAAGAGTAAATCGGTACGTTTAGTCATGATCCCAAATAAGGATTGAACTCAATCGTTAATTACACACAAAAGATCTAGATGTATATTGACTTAGTTTTTATCTTGAATAATTATATATTACACCGTTTTAAGTGGATGGGATTGAATGAGCCTATCATATTCAATCACTTGGGTGAGTTTAGTGATGGAGGATTAAGATATATACATATAATCCTAAAAAAATCAACCAATTAAAATCTTGAAAGTAATATTAAAATAGTTCTTTGTAGCACCATGACATTGAGCCCGTGACACATTTCTAGTTTCACTATAATGGGGTAGTAGCATAATGATTTTGAGGCTTCAAAGATAAATTATATAATGATGGTTTTTTTATTTTATTGTATAATTTTTAATAGAAAATAGATTTCTAACTTTATATGTATAATTAAATATCGCTATCAACATATTTTTCATATTCATTTCATTTATAAACAAACATTTATTAAGAAATGTAGGTTTAATCAACTTAAATTTACTTTTAGTATTTATAGTTTTGTAATTGTGCAAAAAAAAATTTGTTTTTTTTTCTCTTTTTGTAAATTTGGTGTCTCTAATTTTTAAAATTTAGTGATGTTAGTCTACTCATTAACATATTTTCTAAAATTAAACAAAAATGTTAACATGTTTATAAATGATAATGCCCAGTAATTACTTAGTCATGTTGGCTTCCATATAAAAATAATACTACTTTTTACTACATATACGGTATACTTATTTTTTCTTTCAATTAAAATTTATAATTTATTAATTTTTTTAAAATTCTTAATGTTACTATTTTTCTACATGTCTAACTATATATAATTTTAAATGACATATTAGTGAGTGGACTAACACTGTTTAATTTTAAAAATTAAATGAATCAAATTTGAAATAAAAAAATATTGGGTGACCAAAATTGCACATTCGTGAAACTATAGCAAAAAAAAATTGTGAAAGCCATAAATTTAATCATAAGTATTAACATACATTAATTGTGAAATAATCATAAGCAATAAATTTGATATACACATATAAAGTGATATGAATTTTCAATCTAACGGTTAAATTTACAAAATTCACAATTAATATAAAACTATTAAGTAATGTAACACTTAATAAAAGTTATACCGGTGTCGTTTGAACCCTCCTCTTAATATAATATTGACATAAATATATTTTTAATTCATGTAAAATGAGCAAATTTTAATGTTAGTCTCTATAAATTTTTTTATTGTTTTTTTATCTCTTTAAAACTTAATTACTACTTTTAGTTCTTACTAATGTGTTATTAATATCTAACTTTTTCTATCATTTGTTGGCTTTAAAATATATTATTAATATTAATATTAATATTTTTGTACTACTTTATAATAAATAATAGTATAAAAGTAAATTAAATGAAAATATAATACATCTTTTTTATATTTGTTAACATTATATTATTTGATTAATGTAATAAAATAGGTATTTTTTTTAATTAAATCATATGAATAATTGTATGTTTCAAATATCTATGATTTAAAATATTTATTTATAAGGGTTCATACTATAAATCATTATTTCGAGTAGTATAAAACTTAATTCTCTTAAAAAAGAACTTATATTTATCGTTTCGCTTAGAATTTATAAAATGTTAAGAACAATCATAAAAAAATATCCTCTTATAAAAAATATATTATTATATGTGTGATAAATATAAGCAACAATTCAATTCTTTAAGTTGTACATTGTAAAGTTCAGGTTTTAATTAATAGTCACACACATTTAATAATGTTATAAATTTAATAAAGTTATAGATTCCGAAAATAAGTCATATATTTTTATCCATCAAGTCATATATTTAATAAAGTTATATTTTAATCATTAATTTTATAAATATTTTTTTATATATTGTCATTGATATAATACTAATATGTGACAACTACATATTAGATAATAATCCTCTTTGAATATTTTATTATTTTCAAATATATTGTTTTACACAATTGATGTATTACGAGTAAAATGGAAAAGATAAAAATGAATATCAAATGAGATAAGTTTTTTTATTATTTGTATAAATTATTATTTTTAAAATTTATTATTTTAATATTATCCTTTTAAAAGTTGTTAACCATATTATTTTTATTTTTATTAAAAAATAATTTTAAACATAAATATTAATTTAAATAATTCGATTAATAAATTTTAAACTGACTAATTTAAAAATAAGTATACCATTATATTAAATAATAATATTATTATATATTCATATTTTCTCATTATTTTTTTTATTTTAAACTACATCTTATTAATTTTAATATATGTATAAAGACATAAAATTTTATAATAAATACTTTTTATTTAATAAAATTTTATATAATTTTCAATAAAATATCTTACATTCCACAAATTATTTTCTTTTTGTCATTAATCATTTATGTGAATTATTCACTACTGATTAAATTTTGTTAAAAACACTAATAATGGACTCGTTTTTAGTAAGATTTATCACTATGTTTTAAAATATATTATATCTCAAAATTGACAATCAAAAATTAATTTACACTCATAAAATATAATTTTTATTGGTTAAGAAATATTTTAACGAATCAAATCTAGGAGTCGAGGTTGACCATCCAAATTCCAAAGTAGGAGTTACAATCACTCGGTAAAAAAAACTTGGTAAAAATATTTAATAATATATTATTTTTAATGAGAATAAAATGATTAATAACATTTAATATTCTTAATAAAATTTAATATTCTTAATAACATTTAATAACCTTATATTTTAACTAGTAAATTTAATAAAAGTATTATATTAAATAAATGCAAAAATTAATATTAATCAAATAAAATTATTGTACTAATAAAAATAAATGCTACATTGAATTTATGTAATAAATATCATTAATGTAAATAATTTTCATTTAATATATTTAAGTCTATTAACTCTAATGGCTACTTGATCAACTATTGATGTTAAATATATATTGATAGGATGATCCATTTATTTTAAAAGTAATTTTTTTTTATAATTATTCATAATTCAAATTGATGTATATTTATAAAAATATATTATATGTTCATATAAATTTTATAATAAAACATCATATAGTTTTCAAACTCAGCAAAAATTTATAAATTTGATATATTCGGACAATAAATTATTAAGTAGAATAACTTTATTAATAATTATTTTTGAAATAAATGGATTCTCCCCTCTATATATATTTAACATCATTAGTTGATCAAGATAGTTGTTAGAATTGATAGACTTAAGACGAAAAGTTATATACATTAATGACATTTATTACATAAATTTAATTTAGTATTTAATGTTATTAATACAATACTTTAATTTGATTAATATTAAATTTTGCATTTATTCAATATAATATTTTTTTATTAAATTTAATAGTTAAAATATAAGGTTATTAAATGTTATTAAGGATATTAAATCATATAGAGGAGGAATTTACTTACTCTAAAAGTAAGTCTTAATAGACTTACTCTAAAAGTAAGTGTTAATAGACTTACTTCACTCAATAACTTAAGTCCTACATTAATTATTAATAATTCAGTCGTTAAATTAAAAATTCTTAATGCATAAATCAAATATGCAAATTTTTAAAACTTTTGAAAATTATTTGATACTTTATTTCATTAATTTAAATTGGCAAATAATTATAAAAATATTTTTATACATTGATTTGAACCTATATAACAAAGTATTATATGATTTTCAATTTTTTTAAAAATTTATAAATTTTATTTACTCATTAAGAACTTTTTGGTGTCCAATTTTAACAAAATTCACAACAAACTAAAATTACAATTGGTTAGATGCTTGTGTTCCTTAATCAAAGGCCAAGATTTGATGCCCACCTTGAACATGAAGTTACAATAGGAGGTGCCACCTTATTCCTAAAATGAGTCAACTCATTGGGAAGAATTTATACATCTTAATTACAGCAACAACAAAAATGACGCAATCATTCAAGGTAATATAAAATTGTAATTCAATTGTTGGATCGATAAAATTAACTTTAAGTATAAATTATTAATAGTGTAAAAGTCGATATAAGTTATATTGATGTATTTTTAAACCACCAGTATATATGTGTGTGTATGCATGTGTGTATTAGTTAAAATATGTTAACAAATGGTATTTAGTCATTGTATATATTATGAATTCTTAATTTCGTCCCTAAACAAAAAATCTTATTAGATCACCTCTTACACTTTTTAAATGTTAAACTATCTTGGTCCTTGACATCCTTAATTAACTCAATTATTTATTGTTATTTTAATTCTTATACATCTACATATTCTTAATTTAGTCTTACACCTATAGTGTATTTTTAATTTAATTTCTACAAATAAATGATAAAATTAAGAATGTGTAAGGACCAGATTATAAATACATTCTTATACATGTAACATATTCTTAATTTGGTCTCACACCTGGAGTGTATTTTTAATTTGATTTCTACAAATAAATGATAAAATTAAGAATGTTTAAAGACAAAATTATAAATGCTCTAGACATATAAGGACCATATTTAGGAATATATATATATATATATATATATAATTAGCTACTCGAAGGATCATAATGCTTGCATGTACATGAACCAATTTAATAATTTTTTTACAATAGGGATCAAATTGGAAATTCACAACATGTATAAGGACTAAATTATACTTGTTAACTTTATTTTAAAATATATTTATGGTGTAATTTATTAATGTAGCCAACTAAAAAATAAGCCAAGTG